CACCGGTAGTGACGTCATGGCTGTCGCCGGCCAACGAGTTGGTGTTTTTTCAATGTATGCTTCAGACACGGGTCACGACGAGGCGTTCCCCATAGCGACCCCTAGAGGACGCAGTTCGAAGTTCCCATGAAAGGGAACTAAAGTTATTTGGCCATAGAGATGTTGCCTGTGTTTGGAGAGAAAGAAGTAAGAGGCGCTCAACCCAAAGAACACTGTTCCCACAGTGAAACATGGCGGTGGGAGTATAATGCTGTGGGGATGTTTCAGTGCGTTTGGAACTGCCTGGGAATCTTGTCAGGGTCGAAGGAATCATGAAAAAGGAAGACTATGAGAAGATTTTGAAAGACAACCTCAGGCAATCTGCAACAAAACATGGTTTGGGTTGACATTTTGTCTTCCAGCATGATAACAACTCAAAGCATACCTCACTTATGGTGAAGAACTCCAAATGACCAAAGTGAACATCCTTGACTGGCCTGCACAAAGCCCAGACTTGAATCCAATACAAAATCTGTGGGGCTCACTGAAGACCAGAGTCCATGCAGAAGGGACAGGTGCTCAACCCAAAGAACACCGTCTCCAGAGTGAAACATGGCAGTGGGAGTATAATGCTGTGGGGATGTTTCAGTGCGTTTGGAACTGGGAATCTCGTCAGGGTCAAAGGAATCATGAAAACGGAGGACTATGAGAAGATTTTGAAAGACAACCTCAGGCAATCTGCAACAAAACATGGTTTGGGTTGACATTTTGTCTTCCAGCATGATAACAACTCAAAGCATACCTCACTTATGGTGAAGAACTCCAAATGACCAAAGTGAACATCCTTGACTGGCCTGCACAAAGCCCAGACTTGAATCCAATACAAAATCTGTGGGGCTCACTGAAGACCAGAGTCCATGCCAGGAGACCAACAAATCTGGAGGAGCTTGAGAGATTTGCTGAGGAAGAATGGGCTGCGACTCCTCAGGAGACATGTCTGAAACTTGTTGAGAACTACAACAAACGACTAAAGGCTGTTATCAAGCAAAAGGGATACACCATTGACTATTAACATCAGAGGACTACTAATAATTTTTTTATTTTTTTATTCTTGGTTATAATTTTGTTTCTATTTGTATTACAAACACTCCAAGCCTCCTAAATGATGAACTATTATGTTTAGAAATGCTGTGTTGAAAAAATCTTAAAATCTTCTCTCCGTTAAACAACACTTGGGAATTATTTGAAAAATAGTGAAATATTTAATAGGGGGCTAATAATTTTGTCTTCAACTGTATATATATATATACTCACTCTACTTGGAATAAAAAACATTATCTAGTCTTGGAAAATGTTACATAATGTGTTGTCTAAGAGATTAAAATATTATGATATACTCAACCAAGTTCAACCATTTTTTTTCTTTGGTTTCATTCTATAGATCGCAAGATATGGCAAAAGAACGCAAAGAGGATATGGCTTTAAAGACGACCACTAACCCAACAAAACCAGAGGAAGCTGCCCCTCAACCTGAAACTTGATTCTAAACATTCCATGTGTATCTTGGTATTTTTGTCTTGTGAAAGAAAATATCTAAATTTAACTGGTGTCTTCTACTCATTTCTCAGTAAAAGATCAAGTAATTTTGAACCCCCTTCCTTCATTTGCACGTTTTTTTCTCACTGTTACATCATGGTTTATCTGAGGGCTTCTGTTTGGCTCTCAGTGTGTGTGTGTGGTTTTCATGCTTTGCATTTTCTTCACTACATCTATATCAGTTAGTCTTTCTAAAATTACCTCTTATGACTGAGAGTTTTATTGAACATACTATAAATGAATTAGTAAATTACTGAAATTATATCATGATTGTTCCTTGTGATTAAATGCTGTGATTCTACTATTGTAGGCAGATATATGGAACATTATTAAAAATGTACACTGAAAATAAAATGTTTTCCCAGTCATATTATTTGTAATCTACACCACAGAATTGTTTCTCTTCTCTTTGCTTTGAAATCTCTAAAACATACTAGATTACTAGCCTATATATATATATATAGTAGAATTATATCTAGAATATACATTAAATTATGTAGGATCAGTGTAATCAGGTATTTTCAAGAACACTCAAAAATATGTTTTGCTGTTGACAAAACTGTAGTTCCCACCATGCTTTGCACATTTTTCAATGGTGAGAGTAAAAATGTTAATAATTATTTTTATATAAAATAGTTTAATCAGTTGTGATTTAGAACTGTTTCAATTACACTGGTGGTAACAAAGAGTTTTTTTTTTTTTTTTTTACTTATGCAGTACAAACAGAACATTCTCTTTATAGTCCAGGCAGACAGACACTTTCTGTTCTCTAATCGATGAATCAAAGTAAAATAAATACTAGTGCAAATAAAGAGTCCTTCTAGCTAGCATTAGCTTCAGTGACAGAACATGGTATCACTACCTGTATATAAGCACACACCTCACAGTCAATCTTTGTCTGGTTTTAACTCGGGTATCAGATGCTTCATCTGCAATACTCGCCTTGTAATTCTTTGGAATCCACCCTTTTGACTCTCCCCTCATTACTCCTGCACCTGATAAAGGAATGCACTCCGTTACCCATTCACATCTTCAGCATCCTATATTCAGACTGTGTGTGACCACAGTTCACTTTGAAGGAATGGAAGGCTTCTTGTTGCCATCTAAATATCAATGTAAATTTAACCTCTGGCTATCACAGTCAGGCTAACAGTCAAGTGGAGAGAGTAAACTAAGAAACAGTGGATGCTATGCTGCTATTGTAGGGGCATCAAAAACTGGGGAATCACTTGCAGGAATACCAGTTATTTATATCAAAATTTGAAAAAATGTGATTTAGTAAGAAACATAATTCTTGATCTGTTATTTGTATTTTAATGCTTTGGGGCAAATGTAATTCCTGGTATCAACAATCAGCATTTCCACTAGTAGAAATTGCATTTGTAATGAAAAATAGCATTTTAAATGAATCATTGACAATTAATTTCAATTGATTAACTGTTAACAGGGCACTTAAATGTGTTCCAAATACAGATATCAGTATTGTATTTCTTTAAAATATAATTTTTGATATCAATAATTACTTTATGATATTATTATTTATTATCATTATGACGTTCCTGATATCTAGAATTAATTTCCACTAGTTGAATTGTTAACTCTTTAAATGTGGATATCAAGACTCTCTTGATATCTGGATATTGGAACATGTTTAATTTTGTATTTCTGATATCTTTAAATGGATTTCAGATATTAAAAAAATGGAGATTGTAGATATCTAAAATAAATGGTTTTCTCACTAGCAACAATTACATTACAGATATTAGAATTTAACACTGTCAATGGTGAATATCAAATTATTGATATGAATAATTTTTACTCTGAAATGTTGAGATCAAGAATAGACATTTACACTAGAAACCATGTGTAATGATGTACTACACCTTTAAGAAGGAGTCTCCCTGGACGCTCGGTTATCGTGTTGGTTAAAGTGTTACTCCACCCCAAAATAAAATTTTGTCATTAATCACTTACCCCCATGTCTGTCAGCGAATCACCACAATCACCAGCCACAACTTACACCAGATCACGCTCAACTAAGTTCTGATTCCCTGCACCTGTCGTCTTCAATCAAGTCACCATTCATAAGCACGCTCCTGCCAGTCACTCACCGTCCGGTCTACTGTTCACTACACTGAACTTTACCAGACTCTCTAAATGCTACTTACCTGTTTATACTTACCTCTAGATCCCCGAAGATCTTCCAACGTTGCTCTCCTCCGCTCCTGGATCCCGAACTCTCCGCAAACCTGCAAAGAAACCAAACATCAGTACTCGGCTAAGAATCATGGAACTTTACTTTGTGTTGGATTCTCACCTGCCATTGCTCCAGACGATCTGCCTCTGCAATACCTTTTAATAAACCTGCCTTTCATTCACTTACCTGTTGTCTCCGGCTTGATTTGTGACAGAAGACCGGACCATAACAGTCACCTCCATGGATCCTCGACCTCCCACTCCCACAGATGTCCTCGAGAAACTGGTGAATGCTCTCCGGGCCACTCTCACGCCAGCACCAACTCCTCAATCTGCCTCTGTCTGTCCCATGGCCATTCCTCCTTCCTATGCGGGTGACACAGCTGAGTGTGGCGGCTTTCTCCTTCAAGTAGCGCTCTTTATTGAGATGCAGCCACAGAAATTCTCGACCGAGCGCACCAAGGTAGCCTTCTTGATCTCTCTCCTTTCCAGCAGAGCATTGATGTGGGTGAAAGCAATATGGAACGCCAATAGCCTCCTAATTAATTCCTATGAAGCGTTTACTAACCATTTCAAGGAAGTATTTTGCTCAGCTACAGATGTGCTCTCGGTGTCAGACCAACTACTGCAGCTGCGCCAGAGCGCCTCTCCCATCCACGATTACGCTCTGCAATTTTGAACGCTGGCGCCATCCAGCGGATGGAACGAGGCAGCTCTTCTCAGCGCTTATCGACAGGGATTGGATCCCCGACTCCATGCTCAGATGGCAATTTCTGATGACAATGTTGGATTGGAGAACTTCATGTTAAGAGCCAATCGTATCGCCCAGCGCTTGTCAGCCTGCCACACTCATGAAGCCGCACACCAGTCTGCAGCACCCGCAGCCAGTCCCCCAGTACCAGAGCCCATGCAGATGGACTCCACACGGCTCACTCCCTCTGAACGTGCTCGTCGCCTCGCGTCTGGACTTTGCCTCTATTGCGCTGCCACGGACCATTATATCGGGACCTGCCCCGTCCGACCCCACGTCCAGCGGTGAGTACCCTTCAATTTGAACTTGAAATCGCCACACTTTCCATGCTATCAGTGCAACTCCTCACTCCAGATCATTCTTTTACAGCCCCTGCCTTCGTCGACTCGGGCTCCTCGGGCAATTTCATCTCGCAGGACCTACTAAAATGTCTTCACTTGCCCTGTACACGCCAAGCCCGGGAGCTCAAAGTTGAAACCATCCAGGGAAAACCGCTAGGGCGTGGGCGGGTTAAATTCAGAGCTCCACCGCTGAGGCTCAAGATCGGCAACCTGCATGAGGAGGAAATCACCTTTCTGGTACTGGAGGGACCCACGGTGGATATCATCCTGGGACGCCCCTGGCTCATTCTCCATTCTCCAGAAATCAGATGGGACTCGTGTAAGGTAACTCGCTGGAGTGAGTTTTGCCATCAGCACTGCATCTCAGCCCTTCCCAAGCCTTCCCAAACACCTCGCACAACTCCGATAGCTTCCACTCGCATCGAAAGTCCCGAGTCGTTGGAAACACCTACCGTCCCATCTGATTATGTGGCGTTCCAGGATGTTTTCAGTAAGCAGGCTGTGACTCACCTACCACCTCATCGGCCATGGGACTGCGCTATCGACTTGCTGCCTGGAGCTAAACTCCCCAAGGGTCGAGTTTACCCCCTGTCCATCCCGGAGCGCAAGGCTATGGAGGAATTCATCCAGGAGGCTCTTTCCCAGGGTTTCATTCGTCCTTCTACCTCACCAGCTGCTTCCAGTTTCTTCTTCGTGGGCAAAAAGGACGGGGGCTTGAGGCCATGTATGACTACCGTCTGCTAAACTCCCAGATTGTGAAGCATCCTTATCCACTTCCCCTGGTCACAGCCGCTCTCGAGGAACACCGTGGGGCACACATCTTCTCCAAGCTGGACCTGCGGAGCACCTACAACCTAGTTAGAATCCGGGAAGACGATGAATGGAAAACGGCTTTCATTACTCCATCTGTCCACTACGAATATCGCATTATGTTGTATGGCCTTTCCAACGCTCTGTCCGTCTTCCAAGGATTCATGAATGAGGTGTTCCGGGAGTTCCTCAATGACTTTGTGATTGTCTACATCGATGATATACTCATCTACTCCCGGAACCTGGCCGACCATCGCCATCACGTGAAGAGAGAAAGTATGACTGTCAACCCGGGATCTGCTCCTCCGCCTGCCTTGCAAGAAGCTGAGTCCCCACTACATCGGTCCGTTTCCGATACAGAGGCAGATTAATGAGGTCTCCTACCAGCTCCAACTTCAACCCAGGTACAGAATTCACCCTGCTTTTCACATGTCCCTCCTTAAACCCTTCTCTCCTTCTGCACCAGAACCCACTGAACCAGACGAACCTCCTCCTCCAGAAATCCTAGAACAGTCATCCATCTATCAGGTCAAGGATATCCTGGATTCGCGGTGGCGGGGCGGCCGGCTGGAGTACCTAGTAGATTGGGAAGGATATGGACCAGAGGAAAGATCCTGGGTGGTCCGGGACGACGTTCTTGACCCCATACTGCTGGAAGAGTTCCATCAGACCCATCCTAATCGTCCTGCACCCAGAGGCCGTGGTCGCCCCCGTAGCCGCTTGAGGGCGTCAGGAGCCGCCCCTGGAGGAGGGGGTAATGTCAGCAAATCCCCACAATCACCAGCCACAACTTGCACCAGATCACGTTTACCTGAGTTCTGATTCCCCGCACCTGTCGTCTGCACCACACGGATACGCTGTTTTCGTTCAAATCAAAGCGTAAATAAACATAGAAAACTTATTTGTGTGGTGCGGCTGACACAGACAAGTAGAACAGTATACGCAGTTTACGTCCAGTGGATACTCTCCAAAATGGCGCTACGGTGATGCGGAGGAGACGAATTGTTGAATAAAGTCGTTATTTTTGTTTTCTTTGCGTACAAAAAGTATTCTCGTCGCTTCATAAAATTCAGGTTGAACCACTGATGGCAGATGGACTATTTTGACGATGTCTTTCATACTTTTCTGGGCCTTGACAGTGTTATTTACTTGGCAGTCAATGGCAGAGGGCTTGACAAAAGGGGTAATCTGTAAACACAAGCAATAGTCCAGGCTGGGGCAAACAGTATCCAAGGCAGGGTCAGGCAAATGGGAAATCCAATATACACAGGCGAGAATCAAAGG